GTCCTCATTTGAATCTATTTGGTCGTCCATCTACTACTATCTCACACATTGGCTCTTTTTAGCACTATATCAAATCAATTTAGCAAACAATTTTTTTTTCCAATACTATAGAAAGAGTGATTTTTTTATCTATTTTTAGAAATTAATTCGATATTTTTGAACAAACGATGTGAGATAAATTTAATAGTAAGCAATTCTTGTAAATTAGAATTTCATTTTCAACAACGCACTCTCGATAAAATAATTTTGTATATGAATCTACAAATGTTCTCTACTTTTGATTATATTTTCTCTGAAAAAAAAAATTCATTTCACAAAATCCATTCGAAAAAAATAAACACAAAACGGGTCCTAAGTCAATTCAGGTTTCATCAGAAATAATTGACATGCATGAAGCTTGATGGGAGAATTACTGTGTAGAAAACTGATTCAACAAAACCCTTTATTTGTTAAAAGATGTAGACATAACACATAATCTCAATAGAGCATTCTCGAAAATTACCGATTGTTGCTTTTAAGACTCAATATTGAGATATTGCACACACAATAAGACGAGGAAATATTTGCCCAGACCACCTTGCAAACATAGGAGAAATGCAACATGAAGATTTTATTGTGTTAAAAATGGGTAGGTCTCTTTTCCTTTTAGAAAATCTTGTTGAAGTTGCAGAAATCATAGTTAATTTTTGTTTTGTACTTATTTGTTTCTCTTTCACGCACAAAACAAAAATAACAAACTACAATATAAAATCTAAATAAATATAACAATTAATTTATATATAAATTGAGATCGAATTATTCTAGTACAGTGTCAAAATTATATATATATATATAAAACAAAGAATTTGAAATCCCGTTATCTTTATCCTTAACGATTCCTAGTTTCCTAACCATCGTGTCAATGCCTACCAAATTCAACAATTGGACAAAAGAAACAATGAACCTTGTTACACTTACACATCTTGGTACACAACCCTCTCACACGTGTATGAGTCCCACAATGTGGACCCCATTGTGGACCTCATATACATGTGAGAGAATTGTGTACCAAGTGTGTACAAGTAGCATTTTTGAAGAAACAATAAACGTTAAACATGAAAGTTCTATTGACTTTTCCCTTGTTTGGAGAAACATTGATAATTGAGTGAAAAATGGTTTTTTTTTTTCCCCTCTTTTCTAATTCTATATTAAATAAGATATATTGGGACTTTGAAATCTTTAATATTGTTTCCACCCTCTTTCAAGGTATATAAATTAATAATTTTCACAAACTAGCAAATTATATATTTGGTATATTTGGATAAGAATGATCGAATATGTCTATAAAATACCGAGACAGGAACAAGAAGATGTTATTATTTTATTAACCTCGAATTAGCACAAATGACAATTAATTTATATTTGCCCGTATTTTGTACTAGAGGTAAAAATAATAAAAAAAATTATCATCATTTTAATTATATCGAGTAAAGTGTACCAAATATTTTGCTGGTCTAATTTTGCATCTCTAATAAGGAGGCATGTATTTCTTTTATTTGATAAAAAGGGATGAAATTAGGGATAGGAAAGGAAAATGAGGGATGGACTTTTCTCATTGACTAAAGAAGAAAGCATATTTTTCCTCTTGTTTAATAAAAATATAAATGTTAAGAGACTATATAATATTTGAATTACTCAAAATAATTAGTTTTTCATTTCTCTATTCTATTTTTCTCTCTTCCTTTCTCCTCTTACCAAATTCTACCATGAATTGTTTGGTAAGGCCATAATCTAGAGTACTTTGCAGAATTAAGTTGATAAAAAAAAATTATTTCTAAGAGATAAAGTCAAATCTTCATTTCTATTTCCTTCTCTGGTTATTCTAAGCTCCGCATTCAATTTATGTGTCGATAAAGTTAAAATTCTAAAATAATAAAATTAAGATATAAGCTATAACATTGAATTGGTTGTGAGCCAACTCAATATGCTAAAACACGACCTTTTCGGCTAAAATCATTAATATAATATCATTCCCTCCCCTAAATTTCTCTTTCCTTGACTTCATTGACGACAATCCTTAGTAAAAAGTATCAATTCATGTATTTTTTATACTAATATTCTATGCTTGAGATAGAAAATATTTTTAAAAAATATATATTAAATGCACTATGGAACATAACACCTCCAAAATTTATATTCTTTGACCCTAAGCGGCAAAATAAACAAAAAAGTCTACATCTACCTATAAATAATAACTATATTTATTCCATATATATATATATTAGGTGCAAGCAACGTGCAATGCACGTTTGTCTAGTTTATATTT